TTGCAACAGGATTGCACGTCCGTGCGAAGCTTTGCTTTTGTGCATGCACAGATCACCGATGACAACATCCGGGATGGTGGGTGGAGCCTCCCACCGGTTTTACTACCGGTTCTTGCAAACCGGGTCCGAACCGGGGGCACCCACCACTGATCAAGTAGAACAGTTCCTACCTCTAACGGCTGAATGTTTTTGCCTCTCCAAACCCTGAAGTTGGTTTTAGGGACCCACCTGAGCCGTCTTTGCACCTGACTCGGTATTTATATCCTTCTGGCTCTCTTCCCTGTCCCCTTCAGCCCTCTTTAAGTTTTGAGCTTCTTTTCATTAGCTGCTCTCCCTTTTCTCTCTCTCTCTCTTAGCCTTTCCCGAGGAGCCGCAAAAGTTCAGACTGAATTTCAAAATCCCTTTCATCTTTTGATGCCCGGAGGGATGGCAACGTACGTTGGAGAAGAAATATAGCCCGGAGTTTTATAAATGTACTGTGACGTTCTTTGAGGCCAAGGAGATACGGCGATTTTTTTTGGGGGGGGCGGGGGCACAAAGAGAAAGATCTGAAATAGCAATAACTAGCTTTTTTTATTATAAGTAGGCCAGTTTTTTGGGGGGGGGGTTTTTTTTTTGTTTTTTGATACGGTCCATTTGCTAATTCCACACCTGGAACAACAAAAAACAGTTGATCCTTTGTTCTGGATGAAAAGATAAGTGGCCCCACTGATGAATGCCAACTGGAACCAATTCTCTGGATAATCATTGCTTAGGCTACTCGTTGGTTGTCCAGCCAACAGGCGGATCCAATTTCCCTTCAAAGATTTAGCAGAAGCCATTCGGTTATTTTGTAAAATCCAACGGATCCTTCAGCAGGGATAGGGTTCGTTCAACTTTCTTAGGGAGTGATCAAAAGTCTTCCCCTTCTAAAAAAAACGAAGAAGAATTCTATGAGAAGTGGATCTCCTAAAACGGACCTTAGAGAAGACTTCTGCACCTGGGTTCTCGGCCTGGTGGCTGGGTGGGCGTGGCCATGTTGAGCGTGGCCTAGTCGGCCTCCTGCACCACGGTGGGGACGGACGGACATGTTTTTGCCCTCCCCAGGCTCCGGAGGCTTTTCTCGAGCCTCTGGGAGGGCAAAAACAGCCTCCCCACGCTCCAGAGACCCTCAGAAGGCCAGAAATGGGCCTGTTTCTGGCCTTCCTAAACTTCTGGTAGGCCCGTTTTTTGCCCTCCCTGAGCCTCCATGCAGGCCCTGCACTTACCTGCATCAAAAACGGGCCGTGTGGGGATTCCTAAGAGGGGGTGGGCGGGGCCATCCAGGAGTGGGATTTGGGGTTCTCCGAACTGCACAGAATCTTAGCTAGAGGTTCTACCGAACCCCTGCGAACCCTCAGCAGCCCCACCCCTGCTTCTGCATCCATGTAGGTCACCATAAGGAGACGTTGACTGCGAGTAAGATCTACTCATTTATTTATTTTTTTCTTCAAGATATTTTCTTCCCCCATCTGAACTTTCTTCCAGTGTTATTACAATCTCTAATAATACTCTCTTTCCCCAGAACAGAATGCCAGAACGGAGAACAAAAGGCTCCATTATAAAATTAAAAGACAAAACCCAAACACTTATGATACAACTCCCGGTAATTATATAGTCATATCAAAATTGTCTACAAAGGAGAAGATGACACAAGGAACACGGGGGAGGGAGGCAACCCAACTCCGTTACATCATGGACCTATATTGTCAATCTTATTGGAAGCGTAAAAGTGTAAAGGTAAAGGTTCCCCTCGCACATATGTGCTAGTCGTTCCCGACTCTAGGGGGCGGTGCTCATCTCCGTTTCAAAGCCGAAGAGCCAGCGCTGTCCGAAGACGTCTCCATGGTCATGTGGCCGGCATGACTCAACACCAAAGGCGCACGGAACCCTGTTACCTTCCCACCAAAGGTGGTCCCTATTTTTCTACTTGCATTTTTTATGTGCTTTCGAACTGCTAGGTTGGCAGAAGCTGGGACAACTAACGGGAGCTCACCCCATTCCGCAGCACTAGGGATTCGAACCGCTGAACAGCTGACCTTTCAATCGACAAGCTCAGCGTCTTAGCCACTGAGCCACTGCGTCCCCTTGTGTAGTATATTATTTTTCAAGGGAGGGTGGAATAAGAATAATTGCTCAAAAATGGAGCTTCCTTAGCTCTTCAGTTTGTCGCCAAATCTAGTTTTCTGGATTTTACTTGGCATGACTAATACTAGAGCACAAGAACCCCAACAGTTGTGTCTTAGAACTAGATTAAACATGACATTCTTGATTTGGGAACAAGCATGTAGACCCACAACTGGCAATAGCAATAGCCCTTAGACTTATATACCGCGTCACAGTGCTTTCCAACCCTCTCTAAGCGGTTTACAGAGTCAGCCTCTTGCCCCCAACAATCTGGGTCCTCATTTTACCTACCTCAGAAGGATGGAAGCAGAGGTGGTATTCAGCAGGTTCTGACCAGTTCTGGAGAACTGGTAGTGGAAATTTTGAGTAGTTCGGAAAACCAGTAGTAAAACTTCTGACTGGCCCCACCCCCATCTATTCTCTGTCTCCCATGTCCCAGTTGATCAGGAGGAAATGGGGATTTTGCAATAACCTTCCCCAGGAGTGGGGTGGGAATGGAGATTTTACAGTATCCTTCCCCTGCCACGCCCACCAAGCCACACCACACCCACCAAGCCACGCCCACAGAACCGGTAGTAAAAAATTTTTGAAACCCACCACTGGATAGAAGGCTGAGTCGACCTTGAGCCTGGTGAGATTCGATCTGCCAAACTGCTGGCAGTCGGTGATCAGCAGAAGTAGCCTGCAGTACTGCTCTCTGACCACTGCTCAACCATTCCCATGGTCTTAGGTAGATATGAGTCTTTTTCATCACCTCATGGCTAAAGGGATCGGCAATGCCACAAAGCCAACATTGAGAAGCATGCCAGCTGGGGAATTCTGGGAGTTGAAGTCTACCCATCTTCAAATTGCCAAGGTTGAAAAAAAAGTTTGCCCTAACTGGATAAGAGATCATCCTTGAATCCCAAGCCTTGAGGGTCATGGCCCACCTAGAGAATGAAGCTGCTGAAAGGTCTGCCCCCTTCACAAATCCCCTTCTCCAAATCGCCATTTTCATACCAAAGAAGACCAGAAGAACAGGGCCGGTCGGTCTCTAAACTGCCCCTCAAAAAAAACCCGTCTTCCATGTTAAGGGGGACAATCAGAAAGCAAATGAGAAGAAGAAGCACGGCCAAGAAGCTCGGTGTCGAGATCCCCTCGCCACGCAGCGTGATGGTGGCAGCCGCGGATCCTGGCGCTATGCACATGAAGTTGGCCCCGGCGCTATACCTACCTGGACCGGCGGAAGGGGTGTTGGGCGGGGTGGCCGTTTGCACAGGTGGTGTTTAGCCTAATTAGTAGGAGGCCGGTCACGCCGCCGTCGGAGCTAGGGTTTTGTTTAACTGCCCTTCCCCTGCTTTGCTGCAATTGCTGACTCATGCAGGGGCCGGGTGCGCTATCCGGAAGGGCGTGTGAGCCGATGCAATTATTGGGCGCGTGGGTTTAAAAGGCGTTGGGAGGCGGCTGCTCCCAACGCCGACTTTGTATGCCTTTTGCATTAAGTGTTTTCTTCGCCGCTGACGGTGCTAGCGACCGTTTGGAATAAACCGCTTACAGCAACTAAGACTTAGCAGCGTATGTTTTTCCGACGTCTCCTAGACACGCAGTTAGGAAGCTAGACACTCGGTGGCATGTGCCCAAAACTGGAAGACAATCTCCAGCGGCTGCTCTGAAGGATATTTAGCGCTTAGGATCACTTTGATACGTGGAGTCACATTTAATGGGCTCTGGCACCCCCATTGAAGCATCCTGATTATCTAAGCTAGAAATCGGAACTCTTTTAGCCAGGATGCGGCACAATCGTGTCCAAGGAGGAGGTTTAAATAGTGGCCAAGAAATTATTAGGCCAACCCATCAACACCGCCGTCCTTAATGTCTTCTTGATTATTTTTTTGTTGCTGTAATTATAATCCGCTGAACCTTAAATTCTGAACTGCTCTGGATTATAACAAATATCTCGGGCACGATAAAGCCTGGACCTCTACGGCTGCAGCCTCTGCAGCGGAGTTGAAAAATGTTATTCTCCGCTCAGAAATCCGAGGAGCAACTTACCCATCAATTAAAACTAACCGCAACGTTCCTCATACCGTTTCGATGGTCAAGTAGCCCTTGACTTGCCTAGTACACACACCATTTGCCACTCAACTGCCGGCGTGCGCTTTAGCCATCGACTTCATGAATTGCGTTTCTGTACCGTCCAAGAGCCGGAAGCTCTCGGGGGTCACGCAGAAGAGGTTAAAAATGCATAATAAAACTGAAAAGCTCGGCTAACGCAACACAGTGGCTCAAATCAATTAAAGGCTGGGGCAGTGCATTGGAAAAACGCAACCTTGGATAGATAAATGAGAGAGCTAGGGATAGCGAGAGTGAGAGAGCAAGAGAGCAAGAGAGGGAGAGAGGAAGGAAGGAAGGAAGGAAGGAAGGAAGGAAGGAAGGAAGGAAGGAAG